TGGGGGCTGCACCTGCCAACCCAACAGCCCCAATAGCCCTTCCGGGTGCAGGACACAGCCTGGCCGGCTGCCCTGAATGTACAGGTATTTACATATGTACAGGTGCTCAGGGGTGGGAGCTGCCCTGCCCCTCAGGGCACATCACAACGCTCAGGGATGGGGACAAGGGGCCGTCACGCTGTGCCAGCCACTCAGCAACACCCCCGGCTATGGCGAGAGACACACACACACACACACACAGCCCCTCACACCCCCACACACCCCCACACGTCCCCCAACCCTTTCCTTGTGTCACTCAGTGAGGTCTGGGGCTGGGTGTGACAGTGCAGGTTCAGGAATGGGCCAGTGGGGTTCCTCCACCTCAGACAGGCTGGGGAAGGGCAGATGGCCATCACCCGGCTGTGGGTCCAGCCCTCCCTGCAGTGCCCCCCAGGCCCAGCACCTTCCTGCCAGGGTGGGATGCTGGCTGTGCCGGCACTGCTGCACACAGCCGCGTGGCCAGGGATGGGAGCGGGGGTTCTGTCACTGCAGCCACTCACCCCCCTCCCCAGGGCCAACCAGCACGGCGACTCTCTGTGGCACCTCTTAATGGCTTATACCCGGGCTGGAGGGGGCTCTGAGGCCGGAGCTGAGGGGGGGGACGAGGACCGGGCAGGGGGGGCAAGAGGAGTTTAACTGCTGCCCTCCTCGGCCGAGCGCGTGTCCGACTTGAGCTTGACGAACTCCTTGGCCACGTCGTCGTTGTTGCGCTGGGACAGGATGCGGAGCACGGTGAGCCCGGTGTCGTCCATGTGGATGCGGCGGCCCAGGGGCAGCCAGCAGGCACAGCCGGGGCGCTGCAGGATGTCCCGCAGCTGCAGCACGGCGATGCCCACCGTGCGGTCCTCGCGGGCGAAGCAGTAATCCTTCACACACACCTGCAGCTCGTAGCACTCCGGGCCTGTCTCCGTGCCCAGCGTGCTGGGGAGGGCAAGGGAGGGGCAGGGTTGGCACGGGGGAGAGGTCACACTTCCATCCTTCCCCGGCTCTGCTGCCTCCCCGCTGCCCAAAAGAAGCCTTTTCCTCTTTTCCTTTCCCCCACCCCCTTATTCAAGTGCTGTTCCAAGAGGGACAGAGATGACGAGGACTGGGGGAAAAGGGTGCTCGTTTTGGGACCGCCAACTCAAATTCAGGAGGTGTGGTGAGGGTGGGGCGAGGGGATGGGCAGTTTTGGGGCTGAGTGTAACCAGTGAGGAAACGTCCAAATACTATAATTAGATGGTAGTCCATTGCACACCCTATACTGTGGGTGTGCAACATATTCTGTGCACCAAAGGCACCACAATCAAAGAAGTGCTTTCTACCTTTCTATACTCAAAATGGTTCAGAGAATTATTTCTCCAATTTTGGGCAACGCTTCTACCAATGAGGAAACACCTAAAACATCCTGGGGGGGGGGATGAGCAAACTCACTGGCAAACCCCAGGAGGTCCTCACATGCTGGAGGCACATCCCCCAGCCTGTCCCCACACCCCCAGCCCATGGTGCCACTCACAACTGGAAGCTCTCGTTGTACTTGGGGGCCCAACTGTTGTTCTTGGATTTGGTGGCGAATTTCCTCTTCTTGTCGCTGAGGTGGGGCCCGATGATGTTGACCTCGATGAAGGGCCGGAAGATGCCCGACGTCTGCCACTTGAGGTCATTTGCAGCCACCACTGCGGGGAGGGGACAGGTGAGGCTCAGGGGGCACTGTCACCTGCCAGCCCCCTGGCCAGCAGAACCCACCTTTGACGGTGACTTTGTGCTCGCCAGTGCCAGGGTGGGTGATGAGCTCCACGTGGATCGACACCTCCCCAACGGGGTCCTCCACACCAGAGCCTGCGTGACACAGGGAGATGTGAGGGTCTGGCTTCAAGGTGTCCCTGATGTCCCCTGCCCACCACCAACCCCACTGGAGGAGGCAGGTCACCCACCACGGGGCGGGAAGGGGTGGGCAGTGGGGTTTGTCCCAAAGTGGCCTCTGCCACTGGTTGTGGGCACAGCAGTGTGGATGCATGGACATGGCAGGACATCCCCGGCACCAGGCTGACTCTGCCAAGTCCACAGGGTCCACTGAACCCCCCTTGCCCAGGCAGGGCTGAGGGGCCTGGCTGGGATGGGGCAGAGGACAGTGGTCCAGCTCCCCCTGCTCTGGGTACAGAGGGAGGACAGTGCATGGGCACAGCACCAGGCAGGAGGGACCCCATCAGGGCATCCATGGCCCTACCAGGGTCTCAAGGCTGCCCTGCCCCCCATACCCCTCCATGCCAGAGACCACGTCAAGCCCTGGGGTCCCCGAGCCTGGGGAAGTGGGGTGACCTGCGACCAACAGCTCAGCCCACCCCATCCCCCCCGAGAGCTGTGCATGCACCCACGGGTGAAGGAGGGGGCAAGGCAGAGGGACAGGCTCTGTGGGTCCCACGGGGCCACGGAGATCAAACAGGGCTCAGCAGAAAGCTCCCAGGGCAGGAAAACCAGTGGAAGGAGGACACGTCCCCACGTGTTACGGAGGGTGCCAGGTCGGGGTGGAGGCTGGCGATGGCACACTCCTGTCCATCCCCCCTGGCACCCGGAGCCACATGCTGAGCCGGAATGGAGGCGATGGAGGGCGGGCAGGGGGTGTCTGGGCATGGGAGGCCAAGCAGGGGGTACAGTCCCGGCCCCCCTGGCGGGGTGTGATGGAGGCCAAG